GGTCACCAAGATTTTTAAAAGCTCCTACTATGCCAATGATTTTTTTTTAAGGTATTTTCCTAAATTTCAAGTGATCTTTCAATTACTGAGCCCATAGATGATGTAGACGTGCTGGGCTGTGGGTAAAAATATTATTTCCAGCTTGGAAGGTAGATTGTGTGGGGACTCTACCTGTCCTAGTGTTTTAACCAGAATTTGATGCGTTCCATCGTATGTTGAAGTTGGGTCGAAAATGCCGGAGTAGATCTAAATATGGGGTTGGAAAGGTGTCATAGCCCATTGGATTTTGCTAACACTTAGGATTCCGCTTGTAAGCTGTGGTGTCCCTGAGTCTGTCCAGAAGGCATTCCTATTTATTGTAATGGCCTAAGATTGTAACTCTTATTTGCTTTACCGTTTTGGTAGGGAGCGGTTGTGTACGCTTGGACTTCGGTTGCTTCCAACCTGAGATCTGATCGTTGGAAATATCAGCAGCAAGGCTATTATTGTGGGCCTCTCACATGAAAAGCGGGCTTAAACTCCGAGACGATTCTCAGTACAAATTCTTTAGTTTGAGCTCACTCCATCAGTGCAAAAATAGAGTCTGAGTTTCAGCTGCCTTTTTATGCATGAGACCCAATATTCTCACATTAAGTTAAACTTTTGGCAAATTAAATTAAACTCTGGGCAAAGGGATTTCAACTTTCAGCGAGTGGATTTAAACTATGGGCAAATAAAATTAAAACCTAGAGCAAATAAAGTTAATGTTTAGGCAAATCGAGTTATACTCTCATCAGGGATTCGAGTTGTGACCGTTGTTCTCCTATATGTATGTATATCTCTTCAGCGTGAGCTGCACACCGCGTAAACTATGCCTTATTCATGGATAAAATTAAGCACTTTTGCATGACGCGAATTATATAAATAAAAACAAACAACAAGTGATTTCAATTAATTTGCCAAAGTTTGTCTTCTTATGAATTTCCTAACTACAATAGGGGCAGGTCCAATTCTTTTCTGTGAATCGACGTATAAATCATACAAGAGGTTTTCCATTACGAAATGTACGAGGAATAATTTTGTTGAACACTTCAACCCATTTGCTCTCTCGATAAAGGGTCATTTTGAGCCCTTTTTGAAAAGTTTGAATAAAATGGCATTTGAGGGTCGCTCGAGGGTTGAAATGTTCTAGAAAATATTTTTTTTTGTCACAAGTGGCAAGATCGAAAATTTTGAAAATAATATATTTTTGAATAAGGGTCGCCCTAATGTGAATATACATTAGGGGGCCCATCGAAAATGCTTTTTTTTTGCAAATTTCAAGACTCTACCCGTTAATTTTATTCGTTTTTATGAGAAATATTATTGCCTTTTGCCTATTACGAAAATACGAAATGGTAGGACTGAATAGAATTTATGATCTTTATGAAGACAAACCCTACTTCGAAAAGAAAATGCGTAATTTCCCTAAGAATTAAAATTTATAGAAATGTATAAATTGAAAGCTTCAATTTGTAAAGGATTTGTACTAATCATTAAATGGAAAAGCAAACAGGATAAAAAAGAGTCCTATAAAAATATGTCTACACGCAGAGCCTTATAAACCTCTTTTAGAATAGATGTTCCTTATTAAGAGCAGAGTTTTACAAAACCTTTATAAGACCGATTGCTCTTCATACATAGACAAGAACTATATAACGGTAAGAATGGCTCATATGTATATGTATGTGTGAAAATTACACACAGACGACGCCTCCGGCCATTGAGGGTCTCACCTTTAAGCTATCGCTGAAGTTTTTTTTTAACCCCAACCCTCCCTTCGCGAAATCCTGGCTACGCCACTGCTAGTGAAGATATGTATGTACACAATTATGTCGCATGAATGCACATTTCTTTATTCACATCTCTAGCTGCTGCTCTGCATTTAAGTCGTTTATTGAAATGTGTTGTTGTATTTCATGAACTAAATAAAATGCTTTAATTAAATCGTCATTTCATTAGTTAATTTGTGAATAAGAAAATATGTGCATATAAAACTTAAAATTACATATACACGTGCGCTAAGTAGTTACAAAAAACTTTGTGAAAGCAAAAAAATAAAAACCGTAAAATCTACGTAAATGAATGTAAATATATATGTACATATTTATGTATCTAAGCCGTGTAGGTGTGTTTTATTTCCACATTCGTAGATAAGTAATTACCAGTAGTTTTCATTTTTCAATTTTCTTGTGCATTTTTCTTCATTTTTCATTTTTATTGCAGCAATGGTTATTGCTTTCGTTGTTTATGTTTTCAGTGTTTTTGTTTCTGTTTTTTTCATCAAATTAGTCGCACTACTGTTCGCGGTCGGTTGTCTTTCCTTTTTATACATTTGTACATATGTGTGTATGTACATGAGGGTGTTCTAAAAATGCATGTGAACAAGTAAAGTCGGAATTTTAATTTTCTCACCCCCTAGGATTGTTCTTTATCGACAAAAACGTTCCCCTATTTTTTATTTTGAAATAAAAAAATATTTAGAGGTCGCTGAAAGCGCTCAAAGTTTTCCATGAATTTTATATGGGAAAAAACAAGTTTTCGTAGAAAAGGTACAGACTTCTTGGGTATTGCTATTGGAAGTCTCGTGAAGAGAAATAAAGTTTTCCGATCGAAAAATATTGATTTTCAAGAATTCCATACAATTTCTACGAAAACTTTTTTTTCGCCATATAAAATACATGCATGGAAAACTTTGAGCAACCGCTAAATAGTTTTTAATTTCCAATAATTTTTTTCGGTATAGAACAATCCTAGGAGGTGAGAGCTTTAAAATTTCGACTTTACTTTTTCACATGCATTTTTGGACCAACCTAATATGCATACAGACATATATCCGAATGGGTTTCTCCAAGAATGATAGAATACAAGATTGCGCCAATGAGAGAGGATTTTTGAGCGTAATTTTTGCGTGACGTCATCTTGGTGCAATTGCGAGAGAGAAATGCCAAAACGCATATAAAAATATGTAAACAATGCAGAAAAATGTGTTAATTTTAATATTACATGGCCCAATTTTGCAGGAATCAATAAATATACAAAGATTGATTAATTAGGAACACGTAGCAATAATTTTGGACATGTAGCCCTTTAGATAAGTACGATTTTTAGCACATGAAAAAATTGATGTATTAACAGTGTTTGCAATTTCATGTAGACCAAAAGGAAGGTGTGCAGCAAAGTGAATTTTTCGACTTACCATTTTAAAAAGCCATGCAGAGTGCATATTTATATTTGTGGACGGTAGCCAATCACCATAAACTCCACAGCTGTTGACTCCACAGCTTTTATTTGATGACTTTTGTACCATTTCCGAGAGGATGCATGAGTGTGGCTTTTTTGGAAGCAAATATTCTATGTCAGTAAAACATAATTTAAGCTGAACTTTTAAATGTAAAATAATTTGGGCACTGTTTTGTATTAGGTACGTAACAGCGCGTTAAGATGCCGCTTGAATTAGCGCCTGGCGACCTTATCCACTGGTGCATTACCTCATACCAGCACTAAAAGAATCAGGTACTAACAAAAAGTAGGTAGTGAAGTTCATGTATCTATTACTGTATCTATTTACTGTAGAAACTGCTTTTGTATGTATGCCATTGCCAGCAAACTAAACCAGCAACTGTCTACATTCACCATGGAAATATACCTACTACAATTCACCAAGGAAAGGCCAACATAGTTCCAGAAGCTCATAGCTCACACACATAGCACAAAGCTCGATTTGGTGTTTAATGCATGTCCTCCCCGACAGAACTGCTTCCACTTTTTCGCCAGGTTTGCGTCCGTAGGAAACGAAAAAAAAACTTATATAGCACGCTTTCCTTTTGTTTTCACTATTACACTTTGCCACTGCACACCTCATTTTGCTTTTTAATGTCTCAATAATTGTTAAAACCACGCAGAAATATTAACGCACAAATATTAAAATTGTTATTTGGCTTTTTTCGTATGCTCACATTCAACAATTGCACCAAGATGACGTCACGCACACAGATCATTCTGTCAAAATCACAAAGAGCGGATTAGCGGTACCGCGATTGGCGCAATCTCTATTTCTCTCAATCGTGGTTTTCTTCCATTTTTCGGTAGTTGCTATCCCGCGCGGAAGCGATAAAGACCGCTCATAAAGGTGGTAATGTGTGTAGGTAAGCATAAATTTCAGCTTGAGCGTGTATATATGTAGGCGTCTAGCTGAAGTAAATGAAAGATTTACTGTGTCTTTGCAACCATGCTGACAGCTGAGAATATACCTGGCTGGTAGCAAGCAAACCGGTGCACAGACACAAATTCATGTGAGCTCTAGCGATCTGCCAGCGATCCTCGATGATGATCGCTAACGATCGGAGTTCAAAACTGGAGAGTTCAATTAGAAAGGAGCAAATAAGAAGAGCCAAAGAAAAAATAATAAATAGAGCGTTTTGGCATTTCTCTCTCGCAATTGCACCAAGATGACGTCACGCAAAAATTACGCTCAAAAATCCTCTCTCATTGGCGCAATCTTGTATTCTATCATTCTTGAATAGAGCTGATGTCACGACGTCGAGAAAGTGGCAGAACAGATAATTTCGTTTGCTACTCATTTTTTCACAGAAACACATACATACACACGCGCGCACCTTTGGATGTGAAAAAATAATTCATATGAAAATATCTACAAGATTCACCTATGTACATATGCAACTCTCGGCCGCCATAGCTGTCTCCAATGTAGATAGCAGCCTTGCCACCAAGAATGATAGAATACAAGATTGCGCCAATCGAGCTGAGAGCAACTGGCCGTGACGTCAATAAATACCA